TTCTTATAAAGAACGTTATTTAATGTTTTTTACTTAACACACTTTTAGTTTGTTTAAAATTGTTTTCAAGTTAAGGTCTCTCCCAAATAAACTTTTAAAAAGCCTTTTCAATTAATTAAAATAAAATACTTATTTGGTCATTTTCTCAAAAAGGGTCAGTCAATTAATTTAAAATGATGCTCACGCTTTAATTTATTAAATTGGTTTAAATTGTTATTTCAAAATGAATTAAATAAATTCTAATTAATCTAGTTTTATTAATATTCTAATCACTTGCAATCTAATTTAAATGTTTTCATTTTTGGGTCCGTTTTCTCTAAAATAATAAAATAAATAAATAAATAAAAAATGTGTCATTTATTTAGTTATTTTCTCAAAGTTCATCAAATATATTGTAAGTTATTATTTTTACGCTAAATCATCATTTTCCTAAAAATTAGTCAAAATATGTTTTGGTCAAGTCACAAGTCAACCGTATGTTAGCGGGCACTTTGAATGCTTAAACCCTTCTCGAAGTGTAAATTGAACCTCGAACCCTCTTTGGTATTTTCAAATGATTTCTTTTGTTTAAATTTTTGAAAATTACAAGTTTTCTTAATTTCTTTAAAAAAATTAAGTGACGACTCTTTCTAAGTATTTTTCAAATTATTTTATGCTTAGAACATTTCAAAAAGTGATATTTCTAAAGATAGTTAAATTACGACACAACACATAGTGTTGGGTTGGTTTTTTCCCCCACACGCCAAACTCGTTTTATTTTCGAGAAAAGATTGGTTGTGTTGTTGAAGTTGTTGGTTGTGTTGTTGATGTTGTTGTTGAAGTTCCATGTTGATTTGGGACATGTTTCCGGTTGTGTTTTTGAGTTGAATATATTGTATGATGAGGGTTTTAATGATTCTAAGTGTTTGGGGCTGGAACCTTTGAGGTTTAGAAGGTTTAGAGTTGGAAAAAGGAGGAAGAAAAGTCGAGTTTTCGGGGAAAAGGGGTGGGGCGTCGCGCCTGCCAGCGAGCCCTAAGAGGGACTCTGAAGTCCAGCCCTTGGGGCGGCGCGCCTAGCAGAGCGCCAGTAGGCCCCTTCTGAAGTTGTAGGGCTGGCGCCCCGCGCCTCTCAGAGCGCCAAGGACGCTAACCTTTCCCATTCTTTCCCCACTCTTTCATGTATGCTCCTTGGTATTGTACCTATGTTTCCTAGTTGTTTCCAACACTCCAAGGTACGTCTAAACGTCAAGAACTCGTCCATAACATGTGATCAAACACCTTGAATCCATAATTCCAATTCAAGGAGAGTTAGTTTCTAAGTCAAGTGAAGTTAAGCCTAGAAGTTAAAGAGGTGAGTCAAAGCAAGTCTTTAAAGTTGTTCAAGAGTCTTTATTGAATGTTTTAACTTCATTTTTAAGGCTCAAGTTTCGAGTAAAGAGTTGAGTAAAGAGTAAAGAGTTTCAAGTTAAGTCAAGAGTTTCGAGTTAAGTCAAGAGTCAAGAGTTGAGTTCACTTCTCAAAAGCTATTAGGGAACTAAGTATTCCCAAAGAAGTTTTAAAGAAATGTTTTTACATTTAAACAAACTTTGGAACTGAGATCTCCAAAGAGCCTTCGAGCTAGTTTTTCAGAAAAGAGTAATCGCTTTCTAAATGAAGCAATAGAGGAAACTGAGATTTCCAAGATAGCCTTTGAGCTAAGTTTTTGAGTAATTATCTCAAATTAGCAAGAATAAATATGTTTTAAAAACATGAGAGCCAGTACATTTTTGGGAGTAGTATCGAGCACCGAATTGGGGGAGCGTTCAAGGAACCCACAGCCCCCATAGAACCATGTTAGCCACCATGGGTAAAAAAGGATCATACTTTATAGATGAATCCTTTTCCAGATAGACTAGCGGATCCATTAGGCAGTTCAGGTCTTATACCTTTGGCCGGGTATAGGATGCTCTGGCAACGTGAGGTCGATCGTTGTATCATCACTATAGCTCTTATGTGATAGTTGTTGGTTAGAGAAACTCCCACAGCAGTTATTGTATCTTTTATACACAACAGTTATTGCATCTTTTGTACACAACAGTTATTGTATCTTTTATACACAGCAGTTATATGTATTTTTATATACATCAGTTCAGTTGTATTTCTATATACATTGCAGCAGTTATTGTATCTTTGTATACACCCAGAGTCTATAGCAGGTTTTAAACAACTTTTCTTTATATTGCACTTGTTTTAAATTGCATTATATTGAAATGAGTCAGTCAGGTTGAGTTGAGTTGAGCCAGGTAAGCTATTCAGTTTCTTCCAGAACTCCTTCTAGCCTCGTTGCTTAGTTTCCAGCTCGTATACTCGTACATTCAATGTACTGATGCCAGTTGGCCTGCATCTTATGACGATGCAGACGCAGGTACCCAGGATCAGCATCCAGCACGCCGTTGATCCAGTTGAGCACTCCAGAGTCAGTGGTGAGCCTCCTTGCTTTCCGGAGGACTCAGATATTTTGTTCGCTTAGTTTTGTTTTATTAGGATGTTGCGGGGTCTGTCCCAACATCCATCTCAGTATTTTAGAGGCTTCATAGATAGTCAGTCAGTTAGTTTTGAGTCTCTCATCTATGCATATATGTAAATATTCTATTTTGAGACTCGAGTTGCCTTTTGGCCAGATTTTATCAGTTAGGTTGTTTTATGTCCTTGCATTGCATAGAGTTATTCAATTGAGTTAGGTTTCCGCTGAGTTAAGAAGCCAGGCCAAAGGTTCGCTTGGGGCCAGCAATGGTCTTCAAGTGCCGGCCACGTCCAGGGTGTAGGCTCGGGGCGTGACAGGTATGTGCACACCCTACACGAATTTCACGAGATATGTTATTATTATAAAAGAAATAGCTATAAAATCAGACAACAAATTTAAACTTTTGGGCTGAATTAATATGATGTCAAGCATCGCTGGTAAATTTTGTCTCTACTTTTATCAGAAATAAGTATTATCTTATTCTGGAGAAAAATATGATGCATACTTTGTTATACATAATTTGCAAATTATAGGATTTGTCAGTGCAATTACTTCCCTCTCATGGTCTGTGCCTTTTGTTTTTCCTCTTTAAACTTGTATCTTCCGAATTCCTAATATGGATAACTTATTGATTCTATATTTATTTTCTATGTATAATCAATATGAATAAAGTCTTACGAATGATGCGTATGTTGTATTTTCTTCTATTTTTTGTGTGTTTTTTTCTCTATTAGACTTCACCGATCTAATTTTTATGATTTTTTTTATCATTATCGTAAGTCTGTATTGATATTTGTCTCAAATTAGTCATTTGTGACTTTATTGGAAGTGTGTTAACTACTAAACAAAGTTTAAAAATTACCGATAATAGCTTAAACATAATTGATTTACCGATGGTAGCTTCAAAGGAATTGATTTTAAACATTACAGTGTTCCCCTCATTTGGTGTTTCTTGACACACATTAAAAAATAATTACTCTCTTCACACGATTTGCATAAAATTTTTATTGTTACAAGTAATTCATACACAAAGCATTAACTTGAAACTCATTGTTTACTCATCAGCAATTTGTGTTACAATTCCACTCTAGATGACATATATATGGCAGAAGCTTTCCTTCAAATTGTGATTGAAAATATCACTTCTTCCCTTGAAGGGGAACTTTCATTGCTTTTCGGTTTTGAAAATGAGTTTGAAAATCTTTCGAGCAGGTCTTCTACAATCCAAGCTGTGCTTGAAGATGCTCAGGAGAAGCCAACTCAAGGACAGGGCAATTAAAAACTGGTTACATAAACTCAATGCTGCTGCGTATAAAATTGATGACATATTGGACGAATGTAAAAATGAGGCAGCAAGACTCAGGCAGTCTCGATTAGGACGTTGTCATCCTGAGATTATCACCTTCCGTCATAAGATTGGGAAAAGGATGAAAGAGATGATGGAGAAACTAGATGCAATTGCTAAGGAAATAATGGATTTTCATTTCCACGAAAAGATTATTGAGAGACAAACTGCTAGACGGGAAACAGATGCTCATCTTATATTAGTATTACAATTTACAACAACTTTGTTTATATTCGTTTTTTGAAAATTATCAAATTCATGTGTGTGTTCGGGGTGAGGGCAAGTTTCAAAGATTTTCTCTAACTGTTTCTCTCAAGTGTCTAACCCTTCATTACATTTGATGATAGATATATATCATAGATGTTTATAGGATTTGAAAATGACAAATACAAAATTGTGAATTCCATACAGGAGTACTTAATGCATTTTTCACTTTGCCAAGTGGAACTCAGCATGATTTTCTCATGTCTCCTGCTCTTCAAATTCATTCATATTTCTTTAAGGGGTGCAAAATTTATTCTCTATTTTCTGCTGACTCCTAATGAACTTGAATGTAACAATATTCTCGTGTTGTCAATATTGCTTGGACTAGGTTTTGTTTTAACTGAACCACAAGTTTATAGAAGGGACAGAGGAAGATGAGATAGTGAAAATCCTGATAAACAACGTTAGCGCTGCCCAAGAACTTTCAGTCCTCCCAATAGTTGGTATGGGGGGGCTAGGAAAGACGACACTAGCCCAAATGGTCTTCAATGATCAAAGAGTAACTGAGCATTTCTATCCCAAAATATGGATTTGTGTCTCAGATGATTTTGATGAGAAGAGGTTGATAAAGGCAATTGTAGAATCTATTGAAGGAAGGCCACTACTTGGTGAGATGGACTAGGCTCCACTTCAAAAGAAGCTGCAGGAGTTGCTGAATGGATTGAAAAAAGATACTTGCTTGTCTTAGATGATGTTTGGAATGAAGATCAACATAAGTGGGCTAATTTAAGACAAGTCTTGAAGGTTGGAGCAAGTGGTGCTTTTGTTCTAACCACTACTCGTCTTGAAAAGGTTGGATTAATTATGGGATCATTGCAACCATACGAATTGTCAAATCTGTCTCAAGAAAACTGTTGGTTGTTGTTCATGCAACGTGCATTTGGATACCAAGAAGAAATAAATCCCAACCTTGTGGCTATCGGAAAGGAGATTGTGAAAAAATGTGGTGGTGTGCCTCTAGCAGCCAAGAATCTTGGAGGTCTTTTTGCGCTTCAAGAAAGAAAGTGAATGGGAACGTGTGAAAGACAGCGAGATTTGGAATTTATGTGAGAGTTATTATCTTTGATGGTCACTCAACTATTAACTTTTTTCACAGAAAGTCACTTAACTTTGATTTTCAACTCAAAAGTCATTCAACTATGAGATCTTTGCATAGAAAGTCACTCAACCTATTTAATTGTTTTTTTTATTAAAATTTGCTGATGTGGAATTTTTATTTCTAACTAAAATTTTAAGAAATAAACATATATCCATTTAAACCATTTAATAACCCGCCCACTTGACCTAACCCACTAAAATATAATATTAACACTTTTATTTTACTCTTATTCTCCAAAGTTATTTTCTTGGTCTCCCATTCTTTCTCCTCTGCTTCTTTTTTTTTTTTCTGTTTTTTCTTTTAAATTTCTCAATTTCAGCCTTTTCTTCTTTTTTTTTTTAAAGTAAATTTCAGTTAAATAGGAATTAGATTGTGATTAAAATATTATTAGAAGGATGCAAGGTTGTACAAGGAGAGTTTATTAAGAGAGAATCCATGGAAAAGCTATGGCTAATGCGAGTTCAGGTTCAGGCAATATCGAGAGGCTTTTCTTGAAATAGGTTTTTTTTTATCATTTCGCCTTCATACGACGACTCTCATTAACAACATCATTTAAAGCTAACAATGCTAATGAACAATAACCAAAATAAAAAAGAAACCGGAGACAAAATAAAAAAGAAACCGGAGACGAGAGAATGATTTAGTGAGATTAGAAATTGAGATATCCCTAACTAAATGAAGGAAGAAGAGGCTGAAATTGAGATTTTTTTTTTTAAAAAAAAAAGAAAGAAAAGAAAAAACGCAAAGGAGAACAGAGAAAATAATTTTGGAAAAGAAAGGTAAATTAAGAGGTTCAATATTATATGGATATATGTTTAACAGTTGGGGGATGTCCAATACTGATCAATCGGTGTGAGAAGGGAATAGGAGAAGACTAGCACAAAATTGCTCACATTCCGTATCTGGATATTCGTAACAATTAGTATTTGTAATTGTTTCTTTGTTTGTGACTTGTGAGTCTCCCACACAGGTAACATTCCTGCCAGGAGGAATAGGTGATGCAAATTGTACAAGTGACTTCATTGTGGATAAAAGGAAACCAGTATTCAAACAAAAAATATTTCATCCTAGAAAGTACAAATTCCCAAAACTATTATTTATGTACAAAGTTGAACTACTAAGTACAACACAAAAGATTGTATCACTGATAAACACTACTGGAATAGCTATATTACCAAGAGTGTTTGTTAAACAGCCAAACTACTGTAGTTTTTTTCTTTTGCAGAGACTTACCAGATGACTGATAAGTGATAATACAGCAAGAAATATTATAACATATGTATCTCTAACCTTGCTCAAAGGGGCATCAAGCTAAATCCTCGCCAAAATATAGGGATAGGGAGTCTGCACTTCTTCCCTGCAGATTTACAAGATAGAAAAACAATCAGCAGACTTGGCATGGCTTAGACATCCAGGAGGATTTAAAATATGACATGATGAATGCAAGAAAATGTCACATTCCAAAATACCCCCAGAGGTGACTGGCACCCGTTAACACCACCTGTCAGGCGTATCAACCGCATATTTTAGATGTTTAACAAAATTATGTGTACACCAAATTGAGGACATCGCAATCAAGTTTGACTGAATCACTAGTCAGATTCCCAGCGCAAGCCTTAGCTTTTTCACTTGATTTTTATAACTACACAAATGTCATTTGGCGTAAGAAAATCTCGAGAATTTGATAATACATTTAGACATTGCAATTTATGATCTTTACAACATATAAACAAAACTTAGGATCGCTTTGGCTAGCAATGCAAATGCACTATATGTCTCCTCTCCAAACGCCATGAGAAACATTGATAAGCGAGTTAGGAGTAGCTTGTATTTATCAATCTTCAAATTACTTGTGTTTGCTAATTGATTATTTGTACATGAATAAATTAATGACAAATTTAAGCTGTCAAATCTTGCTCGTGATGTGTAACTTGTTGTTTTGAAGTTTTTGGTCTAGCTCTTGCCTTAGAGAAAAGAGTTATAGAGCATTTCATAAATCAAAACACAATAAGATAATAGTGGCAACTCTTACCATGAAATGTAAACTTGTTCTCTGCAAATCTTTGGACTAAATATTACCTCTAAGGCAAGAGTTATAGAATATCTTATAAATCAAGACACAATATGGTAGTTGTCACGCCCCGAGCCTACACCCTGGGCGGGACCGGCACCCGGAGACCATTTCTAGCCCCAAGCGAACCCTTGGCCTGGCTTTCTTAACTCAGCGGAAACCTCAACAGAATAACTCAATGCAATGCAATATTACAAAACAACTTAACTTATAAAATATGGCCATAAAGGCAACTCGAATCTCAAAATAGAATATTTACATATATATATAGATGAGAGACTCAAAACTAACTGACTGACTGTCTGTCTATGAAGCCTCTAAAATACTGAGATGGATGTTGGGACAGACCCCGCAACATCCTAATAAAACAAAAACTAAGAACACAAAATAATTGAGTCCTCCGGAATGCAAGGAGGCTCACCACTGACTCTGGAGTGCTCAGCTGGATCAACGACGTGCAGGATGCTGATCCGGGGTACCTGAATCTGCATCATCAAACGATGCAGGCCAACTGGCATCAGTACATGGAATGTACGAGTATGCAAGCTGGAAAACTAAGCAACAGAGGCTAGAAGGAAATCTGGAAGAAACTGAATAGCTTACCTGGCTCAACTCAACTCAACCTGACTGACTTCTTCCAATATAAGGCAATTTAAAACAAGTGCGATATAAAGAAAGATTGTTTAAAACATGCTATGAACTCTGTGTGTATACAAAGATACAATAAGCCTGAAATGTGTATAAAAATACAATGAACTGATGTATATAAAAAATACAATAATCTCTGTGTATGAAAAATACAATAACTGCTGTGGGAGCTTCTCTAACCGACAACCATCACATAAGAGCTATAGTGATGATACAGCGATCGACCTCACGCTGCCAGAGCATCTTATACCCGGCCAAAGGTATAAGACCTGAACTGCCTAATGGATCCACTAGTCTAATCTGAAAAGGATTCATCTAAAAAGTATGATCCTTTTCTACCCATGGTGGCTAACATGGTTCTATGGGGGCTGTGGGTTCTTTGAACGCTCCCCCAATTCGGTGCTCGATACTACTCCCAAAAATGTACTGGCTCTTATGTTTTTAAAACATATTTCTTCCTGCTGATATGAGATAATTACTCAAAAACTAGCCCGAAGGCTTTTTTGGAAATCTCAGTTTCCAACCTTGTTTAAATGTAAAAACATTTCTTTAAAACTTCTTTGGGAATACATAGTTCCCTAATAACTTTGAGAAAAGAACTCAACTTTAAACTCTTTACTTTACTTGAACTCTTGGCTTGATGTGAAACTCTTAACTTAACATGAAACTCTTAACTTTTGACTTTACTTGAAACTCAATACTTAACTTGGAACTTGAGCCTTAGAATGAAGTTAAAACGCTCAATGAAGACTCTTGGAAAACCTTAAAGACTTGCTTTGACTTACTTACTTCTAAGCTTGACTTCACTTGACTTGGAAACTAACTTCACTTGAATTGGAAACTAACTTCACTTGACTTGGAAACTAACTTCACTTGACTTGTAGTTTTACTTGACTTTTGGAAGTACCTTGGAGTGTTGGAAACAACTAGGAAACATAGGTATAATACCTAGGAACATGTATAAAAAAAGAAATGGTGAATGAAAGGGAAGGATTGGTGTCCTTGGCACTAGGAGAGGTGCAACAGCCCAGCCCCTTTTTCCCCAAAAATCCGACTTTTTTCCCTTGTTTCTTTCCAATTCTAAACCCTCTCAACCTCAAGGTTTCAGCAGCAACACTTAGAATCATAAAGACCCTTATTATACAATAGATTCAACTCAAAAATCACAGCCAGAAATCTGTACTAAATCAGCAAGAACTTCAACACAACACCACTACAACTTCAACAACCAATAAATCTTCTCTTGGAATTAAAAACGAGTTGGTGTGTGGGGGTATGAACCAACCAACACTAAGGATCATAAAATCCCTCAATATACAATAGGTCACAACTCAAATACACAGCCCAATCCTGTCCCACAACCAACAATAACTTCAACAACACAACTAACAACATCAACAACAACTAACAACTTCAACAACTTCAACAACTTCAACAACAAATCCAATATCTTCTCAAATCATCAAAACGAGCTTGGTATGTGGGGGGAAAGGATAAACCCACACTAAAGACTCACATACCTTGATAGGGATCACCCCCGACGAAAATCCACAATGATCTTGACAAATCTTGTTGATCTCCTCTTTCTTCTCTTCTTCTTCTCCTTCTTCTCTTCTTCTTCTCTTGAACCCTAACTCTTTCTCTTTCAAAATGGGACAAAATGATCCAAATATCAGCCTAATACAACAATATAAGCTCAAAAGAAATTATTTGTGAAAAGACCAAAATGCCCTTAAATTTCCGGAACGGAATCCCTGCCAACTGCCCAACTTTCAAAGATCATAACTCGCTCATACGAACTCGGAATCGAGCAAACTCAGTGGCGTTGGAAATATCGTTCCACAAGCTTCGAAACCATAACTGGAACTACTCCTAAATCATCCTGAGCTAGGAGTTATGACTGCTCAAAGTTGGCCAAAAACTCACTGATTTCCACACTTAGCCAAATTTTCCAGATTTTAAATTTTTCCAAAAATGACTATTTCCAAATTTCAAGCTTCTTCATATTCATTTTTAAATTGTCGGATGTTACAGTAGTGTCAAGTCTTTCCCACGAGGCGTAACTTATTGTTTTGAAACTATTGCATCTAAAATAAGAGTTATAGAGCATCTCATTAATCAAGACACGTGTTCTTTGAAAGTTTGGGTTAAGTATCACTTCTAAGACAAGAGTTATAAGAGTATCTCATAAAATTTCAAATCAAACAAAATATTTACAGGTCTTGGAAAAAGAGAGAAAAAAAGAAAAAGTAATTTGACGTTTCAATGAATACAAAACTTGGCTATTAAATGATAAAATAAATATAAAAATACTTTTTTTTGCCAAAAAAATAAAAGTGGTTATTTATTGCCAATTTACAATATAGATTGATATGCTATGCCATTTTTTTCAAAAAAAGTTGTACAAATGGGCCCATAAACTTCACATGTCAATCTTATAAAAGGCCTCACACAATTACATTATTTTATGACATTTGAAACTCAGAATAAAACTTTTTGTATAAGTATATTATAGTTACAACTTTAGATTTGTTACTTTTATGCAACAAAACACTAGTAGTTTAGGTAGAGTGTTTATTGAGTGGTTCGGTTGGATATTCACACTTAATGGTTCGGTTTTTTAGTTATCGAATGTTAAATGTACTAAATCGTTAACCAAAAGAATAAGATATGTATCAGTTAACAATTTTATTTATGGGATTAATTGATAACAACTTCACATATGAATTTGGTGTTTTAGCCTACTGTAAGTACTAAAAGAAATGAATATTCAACTACCACACAAGAAAAATGTAGGTGATGGGCAGCTGTTGGCAATCAATAAGGGAAAGAAAACACATCTGTGAGCTAGCAGTACTACAGAAAACTGTCTTATGGTTCTGTGGAAGACTTTGAGAAAGAAAAGTCTTTGTGGTGGGCAGCAATGAAAGACATGACCCCATGGCCATGTGCAGTAGTTTCCCTCAAATGCACCACACATATAAGACATAAACGTGTATTATGTCACAAGACGCACGTGCCTACCTATTTAATTTTATATAAATTTAAGTGTTTTCTTCTATACACCCAAAATTGAAGGGCATAGATATTATCTAAAACTAAATTATATGGCAGAAGCTTTCCTTCAAGGTGTGCTAGAGTGCAGAGGCGAACCCAGGATTTGAAGATAGCGGGGGCACTACTAAAAGTGACTCAAGGGTAGGGTTACGAGTGGCACAAGGGTAAGGTTATCAAAGCGTCTGCTTAGGCCTCAATGGATATTTTTTCTCTCGTATCCGGTTTAAGTGACTGCAAATCAAACTCATATATAAAATGCGAAGAATTGTCTCTAAAACTAGCACTTGGTTGAGAAGAATTATGTTCGTAAAAAATCTATCAATTTCAGATCACAAGAATCAACAAGAAGTTCTTAGAAAAAAAGATACGCTTAAAACGAAGAACTTATCAATTTATGCAGAGATAATAGGAGTAGGACTTCAATTATGTAGTGAAGAATACTTGTTATAAATTGTAGATTTTCTAGCAGTCTTATATTTTGTTTAGAATTGTGCTAGGGCTTTTATTTGTTTTTAATATCAATTAAGAAAGAAATGGGCCATGGGGTCATATGAGATGGCAAAAAAGGTGGTTAAGAAATGGGGTGGGGCCAGATGATGTGGCAAAAATGATTTTAATAAAAGCAATTTTTAAAAAGGTTTACTCTAAAGAAAAACCTAACCTGATTTTAAAGTAAAAAAAAATTACCTTTCATGAGAATCAATCTCGCACAGTCGCAGTTCAAGATGGCAACTTCGGCCAGTGCACCAAAACAACTTTTAGTTATTAGGGTGCACAATAAAATATATTATCGTTTTATCAACTATACAGAATTTTTAGAAAAATTACCAGGTGCACGTGCACCATCACAGATGCATGTGAGTCCGCCTCTGTGCTAGACAATCTCACTTCTTTTCTCAAAGGAGAACTTGTATTGCATTTCAATTTTAAAAATGAGTTTCAAAGGCTTTCAAGTATGTTCTCTACAATCCAAGTGGTCCTTGAGAAACAAGATGCTATATAGGGAGCAAGTGCTCATCAATCATCATAAATATTCTTTAGACAAAAGTAGTATTTTACAAGATATTTTTTTAGACAAAAGTAGTATTACAAGATTGTAGGAGTGACAATTAATGATAACTTAACTTCTATGTCATAATATAGAAACTAATTTCATAAAGGGAAAATGTTCAAATATGTTATCAAACTATTAGAAATGACTTATTTATTTATCCGTCAAATAAAACTATTTTTAAGAATCAATATTTTAAAATTTTTTACCAACAATAGAAAAACGGCTTCCAATTAACAATTTTACTGATTAGCCAAACACTTTAATTTTTCTAAAAAAATACTTTTGTTTGAAAATAAATATTTTTGGCCTCCCAACAACAATGTCAAACAAACTTTTACTCTCTCTAATCCATATTAAGTGAATTGTTGAGTTTTGATACACGTCTTAAGAAAAATATTTAAAGACATAAATTAAAGACTACTTTTCACTATTGCCCTTTTGATTATTCTCAAACTATTCTACTAAAAAATGTAAAGTAGTTAAGAACCTCATTAAATGATAGGGTAAATATGAAAAAATGTTTCAATTATTTTCTTGAAATTTGAACAATTTAGTTATTTTGTACTACTCCATCCATTCATTTTTAGTTGTCCGCTTTTTGAAAGTCAATTTAACTAATTTTCAAAGTTAAATTGCAATTTCTTACCTACTTCGTAAAATATTAGTCAAAGTTGACTATGAAAGAGTCAACAATTCACTTTAATATGGAGCAGAGGGAGTACTAATTAATAACTAGTTATTGCCCACCAAATTGGTTTGGTATTTGGTGGTTACCATTGAATAATTGAGAGACATGGCCCCATAGGCAGGTGCAGTTTGCAGTTTCCATTTAACAATTGAGTTTGTAACATATTTAAAGACATAAATTAAAGACTACTTTTCACTATTGCCCTTTTGATTATTCTCAAACTATTCTACTAAAAAATGTAAAGTAGTTAAGATCCTCATTAAATGATGGGTAAATATGAAAAAGAGTTTCAATTATTTTCTTGAAATTTGAACAATTTACTTATTTTGAACTACTCCATCCGTCCATTTTTAGTTATCATATTGCGCTTTTTGAAAATTAATTTAACTAATTTTCAAAGTTAAATTGCAATTTCTTACCTACTTCGTAAAATATTAGTCAAAGTTGACTAAGAAAGAGTCAACAATTCACTTTAATATGGAGCAGAGGGAGTACTAATTAATTACTAGTTATTGCCCACCAAATTGGTTTGGTATTTGGTGGTTACCACTGAATAATTGAGAGACATGGCCCCATAGGCAGGTGCAGTTTGCAGTTTCCATTTAACAATTGAGTTTGTAACATATTCATTGCTAACTAACAGTACTTCCAAATATCTAATAGTGAATTGAAGATATGGCTGAATCTCTCCTTCAAATTCTGTTAGAGAATCTGACTTCTTTCATCCAAGGGGAAGTTGGATTGATTCTTGGTTTTAAGGACGAATTCGAAACGCTTCAAAGAACGTTTACGATGATCCAAGCTGTGCTTGAACATGCTCAGGAGAAGCAACTGAAGGACAAACCAATTGAAAACTGGCTGCAGAATCTCAATGTTGCTGCATATGAAGCTGATGACATCTTGGATGAATGTAAAACTGAGTCAGCAAGACTCAAACAGACTAAATATGGGAGTTATCATCCAAAGGCTATCGCTTTCCGTTACAAAATTGGGAAAAAGATGAAAAACATTATGAAGAAACTAGATGCAATTGCTGCGGATCGAATCAAGTTTCATTTGGAAATAAGGCCTATAGAGAGACAAGCTGCTAGACCTCAAACAGGTGCGTATCTTAAATATTCTCACACAAATTAGTATTACAATTACAACATAATTTATATTCATATTTGACAATTATCAAGTTCATGTATGTTTTTGGGCTGAGGGTAAGTTTCAAATATTTTTTCTAATCTAAATGTTCGTTAAACAGATTGATTCCGATTCGTTTATTGGGTTCAAAATCTATTACCTGTATGTGTTTAGTGAAGTTTTTAACATATATATACATGCTGATATATATGGGCTCAGATAAATCCATAGCTTACTCATAGAATATCCCCCGAGTCTAAATGACAAACAAAGCTTCAGTTGTTTTAGACCTTATTACTAGTTTCTGGGTGCCTTGCACGTTTGTTCCATACAATTATTATAAAGTTGAGTTTATTATAACAATATTAATTTTACCAATTTATATTTTATTCATTAAATAAAATTCATAATAATTAAATGGCCCATTGAAAACAAATTAAGATAATATATATAGCCTCTAAAGATATGATCAATATATATACCGATATGATTTATCCTCAATAACTACATATATAAGTAGCTACTTAACAGAAACCACATCGATAAGAAAAGTATTACACCCTCTGTCCCAATTTATGTGACATTCTTCGTTTTTCGAGAGTCAAATAATTTAAGTTTGACCGGAAATTTGCGCATGGGATCTTCAATTTTTTTGAAATGAAATTTATATATTTGTAAACTACGTAAAAAGTACTATAAGTCACAATAATTGATAATTCAAAATGTTTAAAAGATCTATAAAAAATTCACAATCAAAGATAGACTTGTTTGAATCTTGAAATCTGAAAAGTGCCACATAAAATGGGACGAAGGGAGTATAAAAATATTATAAAAGTACATTAAAAAACGAATACAAGTCATGAATGACTAATTTCAGCACAAATAAAAATAGAGACTTACAACATTTAGAATTTCATGGAAGATTAAATTAAAGAAGTATAATAGATAGAGAATATAAAAAAAGGCATAATACATAAATATAAGTCATTTCACATTTAGGTATTTCAACTTTGGGTGTGTACATGTTGACACTTAAACTTGCATAAAGTTAAACAAATAGACGCACACGTCCTATGTGACATCCTACATGGCAATTTGCATCCTACACGGTGTCCTATGTGTATTATGTCATATAGGACTCATCTGTCTACTTGTTCAACTTTATATAAGTTTAAGTGTCTACTTATGCACATCAAAGTTGGATAAATGAGGCCAAGTTAAAAGACAAATTTATGTATTGTGCCAAAAAAAGATAGATAAGAACAAATACAACATTCATATCCGTGTTACGACTTTAATTATAACAATATAATGGTAAAAGAAACACATAATTAATACATAATTTTTTGAGTTCTTGACGATACCTTCTATAATCAATCAAAATTCAAAAGCCTTAATAATGATTCAAGCGCTTTGCTACTTTAACTGTACAATAAAGTGGAAAACCTTGGGTAGAGATTCTTTTCATGAAATAAATAAAAAAGATGATTTGTATTGATAAAAGTAGAGAAATATCAAAAGACATCTTAAAGTTTTAAATTAAATATTTGAAAGTTATGAATATTAAGAGTAACAATTGAATAGGTAATTAGATATGAACTATGATAGTGAATATTTAAAACAAAGAAAGAAGAAGAAAAATAATAAATAAGTAATTAAAAGAGAGTAAAACATTACGACAAATGATATTTAAATAAATAGTGTTATCCTATTATTATGAGCAACTTTCACATACAACAAACATAAAATTATATTTGTATGTTATAGCTATAGTTTGCATAATTGCGCTCCATATCAAATTAAATATTTGCTATGGAGCTTTTGATTTGTATAATTCGCTAGATATATCCAATTTTATACAAATTATTTAGTTTTGTATAAATTCATTTATACATTGTAATTTGTATAATAAAATTTGTATTTGTATAACTATAAGTGTATAGGATGAAAATATATGTATGTTTATTTGTATATACACGTTTCTCTCGCTTTATGTAAACACAAATACATTTTATACATTTGTATACCGAATGGGTAATTGTATACCAAAAATGACTAATTGTATACCGAATCAAATGACAAAAAAATGGGATGTTTGCTGCGTTACAAATAAAATAAACTATGGTTACAACATTTAATTTGAATTAAAAATTTGCTATTTCATACAATTTTTCCTATTATTCATAGTGAACAAAAAATAACTACATCATAATAATAAGATTTCAAATACAATTCTTTGGCTTTTCCTATACATGAAAGTAATAATTACTTTTATGAACTTTATAATATAAAATGCACATAAATTTTCATTAAGTTAAATACTACTACATTAATTAAGTTATTCAAATTAATTTAGAGAAGGGGAAAAGGTTTAGTTAAGTATTTAGATACATGTTTTCATGTACCAAATAAATGCACATACTTTTATGGATTTTTTCATCTTTTAGTTATTTATTTTACACCTTGTCACCTGTATTATTTATCATAATATTAATAATATAGTAATATGATTATTATTTAATATTTAATTAGTTAAATATTTTATAATATTTGGAATTAATGTAGGGTAAAATGCTACTCTTTATCTCTTTATTGTGCAAAAATCTTCTCTGGTTTTTGCTACAGAGCTTGAATTTTGTAACAATATTCTCATGTGAACATTACTTGTACCAGGTTCTGTATTAACTGAAAAACAAGTTTATGGGAGGGGCAAAGAGGAAGATGAGATAGTGAAAATCTTGATAAACAATGCCCAACAACTTTCAGTCCTCCCAATACTTGGTTTGGGGGGACTAGGAAAGACTACTCTTGCCCAAATGGTCTTCCATGATCCGAGAGTAACTGACCATTTCCATCCCAAAATATGGATTTGTGTCTCAGAAGATTTTGATGAGAAGAGATTGATAAAGGCAATCGTAGAATCTATTGAAGGAACGTCACTCAGTGACATGGACTTGGATCCACTTCAAAAGAAGCTTCAGAAGTTGCTGAACGGAAAAAGATACTTGCTTGTCTTAGATGATGTTTGGAATGAAGATCGACATAAGTGGGATAACTTAAAAGCAGTCTTAAAGGTTGGAGCACAAGGTGCTTCTGTTCTGGTCACTACTCGTCTTGAAAGGGTTGGATCAATTATGGGAACTTTGCAACCATATAAATTGTCAAATCTGTCTCAAGAAGATTGTTGCTCGTTGTTTATGCAACGTGCATTTGGACAGCAAGAAGAAATGAATCCTAACCTTGTGGCTATCGGAAAGGAGATTGTGAAAAAAAGTGGTGGTGTGCCTCTAGCAGCCAAGACTCTTGGAGGTCTTTTGCGCTTCGAGAGAAAAGAAAGACTATGGGAACATGTAAGGGATAGTGAGATTTGCAATTTGCGTCAAGATAATAGTTCTATTATGCCTGCCCTGAAGCTTAGTTATCATCATCTTCCACTTGATTTGAGACAATGCTTTGCATATTGTGCAGTATTTCCAAAAGACACCGAAATGGAAAAAGAAAAGATAATCTCCCTCTGGATGGCGCATGGTTTTCTTTTATCAAAAGGAAACATGGAGCTAGAGGATGTAGGTAATGAAGTATGGGAAGAATTATACTTGAGGTCTTTTTTCCAAGAGATTGAAGTTAGATCTGGCAAAACTTATTTCAAGATGCATGATCTCATCCATGATTTGGCTACATCTCTGTTTTCGGCAAGAGCATCAAGCAGCAATATCCGTGAAATAAATGTAAAAATATACTCACATATGATGTCCATTGGTTTTGCTGCAGTGGAGTCTTCCTACTCTCATTTGCTCGTGGAGAACTTTGTCTCGTTGAGGGTTCTTAATCTGAATTACTTAGAAAAGCAGTTACCGTCTTCCATTGGAGATCTAGTACATTTAAGATACCTGGACCTCTCTTACAATACAGAAATGCGTAGTCTTCCAAAGCAGTTATGCAAGCTTCAAAATTTGCAGACTCTTGCTCTACAGTATTGCACCTCACTTTGTTGTTTGCCAAAAGAAACAAGTAAACTTGGTAGTCTCCGAAATCTTTTACTTGATGGTTGCATTAAATTGAATTCTATGCCACCAAGGATAGGATCTTTGACATGCCTTAAGACTCTAGGTTTCTATTTTGTGGGAAGGAAGAAAGGTTTTCAACTTGGGGAACTACGAAACCTGAATCTCTATGGCTCAATTGAAATCAGCCATCTTGAGAGAGTGAAGAATGATAAGGATGCAAAAGAAGCCAATTTATCTGCAAAAGAGAATCTGCAATCTTTAAGCATGAGTTGGGATAAGTATGAACCACGTAGATATGAATCAGAAGAAGTTAGAGTGATTGAAGCCCTCAAACCACACCCCAATCTGACTTCTTTAACAATCAGCGGCTTCAAAGGATTCCGTTTCCCTGAGTGGATGAATCACTCAGTTTTGAGAAATGTTGTCTCCATTACAATTAAGGGTTGCACAAACTGCTCATGCTTACCACCCTTTGGTGAGCTGTCTTGTCTAGAAAGTCTGGAGTTATGGAATGGGTGTGTGGAGTATGTTGATGTTGATGTTGGTTCTGGGAGGTTTCCATCCTTGAGGAAACTTGTTATATGGGACTTTAGTAATCTAAAAGGATTGCTGAAAAAGGAAGGAGAAAAGCAATTCCCTGTGCTTGAAGAGATGACATTTTACAGTTGCCCTATGTTTGTTATTCCGACCCTCCCTTCATTGAAAGTTTATGTGGCAGATGCCTCAAGTTTGAGGTCCATATCTAATCTTAGTGCTCTTACTTCCCTTTACATAAGCGATTACGTAGGAGCTACTTCACTCCCAGAAGAGATGTTCAAAAGCCTTGCAAATCTCAAATACTTGGAAATCTCTTCCTTTATTAATCTCAAAGAGCTGCCTACCAGCCTGGCTAGTCTCAATGCTTTGAAGAGTCTCCAATTTGAATATTGTGACGCACTAGAGAGTCTCTCAGAGGAAGGGGTGAAAGGTTTAACTTCACTCACCGAGTTGTCTATCGGTTACTGTAAGATGCTAAAATGTTTACCGGAGGAATTGCAGCACCTAACAGCCCTCACAACTTTAACAATTAGTGAGTGTCCAACACTGGCCAAGCGGTGTGAGGAGGGAATAGGAGAAGACTGGCACAAAATTGCACACATTCCGTATCTGCATATTCGTAACTAATTTTAATTGTTTCTTTGTTTGTGAATCTTTTTGGTTCCTCCCATTAGATGTAATTGTTTGTAGGGTTGTTTGTTTGTGAGTTTCTCTCTCATTGGATGTAATTTTCTTTTTGAAACAAATCAATAATCTATTTGTATTATCCGCTTTGAGAATGTATTAGTTCTTTGTAAATTGTCAAGTCTCTCTGGTTCCTGTCATTGGATGTAATTTTCTGATTTTTCTTTTGAAAACAAATCAACCATTTCTAAGATCCATTTGTGTTAATGTTGTAATTATTGGCTAACATTAATGTTGAATTTCTTTTCAGATCCTTGTACAACCTTATAGCTAATGAGAAGTTCGTTTCCTTTTTCATAAACAACTCAGGTGCCTCAGAGTAATAATTTAAGCTATGTTGATAATGACATTGTTATATTCAGCAATGGTAAAATCAAATTTGTCAAATTAGCAAATATGATGCATGTGTAGGCAAATAAATATACGATTATCAAACCATAATGAGTTTTATACGATTCAAAATTCTATTGCAAAAATTAAATGAAAAAAATATAAACAAGAAAAAACTAAAACTTTTGAATAGGCAATTACACCCTCTTTTTTTTTTTAGATCGAAATCTGGCCAACCCTTTTTACTGATGAATGTAAATAAGAGTTACAAAACTCATTTGGGCCTAGTGCCCAACTCAAATAAACACAACAAAGAGAAAGAAAAAAAAAATGGGAGAGAGAGCACAGTGTAGTAACATAGTCATGTCAATCATTATTTTTTTAATTGACATGTCAAATCCAAATATGACAAATAAAATGTATAGAAAAAGTATAAATAGAAAATTGAGATGTAATACTTGATGAACCAAGTTTTCAACTTACCTTGCAGACTTATTCAAAATTCAGCCTTCTAAACACTGTTTTGAAATGTTTTCAAAATGCTTTTTTAAAGCAAAAACCCAATGTTGCTTGATATGTTTGAGCCTATGAGGCATGAAGATTCGAGACGTCTAAGGAGTGAGTATTGTTTAGACCCGTTGAAAATAGTATAAGGAGGGTATATACAAAATTTGAAATCGTTTTGGTGGAGATTTAAATTGGATTTGAAGCAGGGAAGACACTAATAAGTTTGAAAATAAAAAAAGGCATGTGCCTTAGGCTTCCAAATGTGAAAAGTCCCATTTTAATTTTATCAATAATATGTTAATAGTTTTATTTTTTAAAAGTGAGCTTTTCATATAAAGGAAAAAAAATTAATAGAAGAAGTTTGACACATTTGGCGTACTATATATGAATCAAGAAGGATTTGAAGGAATTTTTTTGTTTCATTTTTCAAAATCATATACTCAAAGGAATGGGAAAGGAAGCACAAAGTTGACAACTAGAAATATTCTGTGTTTTGAGACTCAATATGTTATCATCACCGTCCACTAGATTTGAGGCAATGTTTTGCTTTCTATGCTATTGATAAAATGAAAAAGAAAAATCGCATCAATCTCTGGATGGCACACGATTTTCTTTTATTATATAAGCGGATAATGAAGTATGAAAGGAGAAGAAAAAATGACACGTGTCAACACCATAAATTTTTAGTATTTAAAATAAATTAAATAATTAATAATCAATAATTAAATAAATAAATATAGACACATGTCAATGATTAGAATTAGAATGACACATGTCAACACAATAATTTTTTTTAATTTTAAAAGTTAACTAATTTTAAAGGGAGAAGGATCTGAAAAATATTCTAAGTTTGGCCGAAATTGATGTTACGATACCAAACTTTGGAAAGAACTTTTTACCCCATGTACTATTTAATAGTGTATTTTAAAGGTGTATATGTGTCTAAGTGGACATCATAAATATTGCATCATTTTAAATAGTAATGTGTCCACGTGGGCACATATATACCTTTAAAATACACTATTAAATAGTGCAGGGGTAAAAGGTACTTCATACATTTTGGTACAACAATTTCGATCAAAGTTAGAGTATTTTTCAAACCATTTTCCCTTAAATAATCAATATATATATATATATATATAAAAAAAAATTTAAGTTCAGTAAGCACATTATACACAAATGCACGTTTCATGTTATTAAATGCGGTAATTTTGTTACACATATTAAATACAATCTTTATTATTGAATTGAAAATGAACTAAAAACTGCTAGAATTTTTTTTTTATTATAAACTAATTAAAAATTTTCAAATTAATTTAATAGTAATTAAAATTCTCAATTATTAATGAAAAAAAATCAACTAACTACCTATTAACTTCCCAATTCTATCTTAAATTAAAAACTGCTAGAATTTTTATTATAAACTAATTTTAAAAATTCAAATTAATTTTATAGTAATTAAAATTCTCCATTATTACATTTAAAAAATATATATATCAAAGACAAGAATTACTATCCTATTTTTTAAATCTACCGCCTACAATTTTTTCACTCTTCTTTTCTCTTTGTTCTCTTTGTTCTCAAATCTCAATAATGGTGAAGAAATGGCTTCATACTTACTCATATTGATCTTCTTAACATGTTAATGGGACAAACTAATATTTCTACAACAACACTTTTTAAAGGTATAATGTCAATTTTCTCTCTAAATTTACTTTCATATTTTTCTTAATAGTTTTAAATTTGAAACTTCTTGCTTTAGTTTATACATTGACATTGATAGATATTTGCGAAAAATTTCAAGCAACACTTTTGGATTTCTTTCTAAAAAGTTGAATTGCTTAAAATTTAATCTTTTATATCAATGCATGTACCTTTTTATGGAGTTGTTTTAAACTATTTGGAAAATAGTTTTGCAAGGATTAAATTCAATTCACCTTCATAGTTGTTGACACCTAATTTTGACCCTCCACGATAAGAATTAATTTGCAAGCTTCCTTAATTCCAAACGATTTGAAATAACTAATCTTATGAAAAAAATTCGAAATATGTTTCAAGATATTTCAAGAATTTTATTCACTTTTATAATATTTTAATAATAAATATGTTTTATATTTTTACGTATGTAACTAATATATTTTATAAACACTTGAAAACTATCTTGAAGAATATTTTATTATTATTATTACTATTATTATTTTAACGTTAAACGCTTTATTAATCTAGTTCAGTTTGAATTGAGCTATGTTGTTGAATTAGTTATTTTTATTAAGTTAATTATTTTATTCCGTTAGGATTAAGAAGCTCGCTAATTAATTTGTTATTGATTCACCTTATTTAATTTTTAGCCGAGTTACCCACTAAATTCATTTCGGTTAAAAGTATTAATTCAATTTGGCTATTTCTTAAAATTCCGAAATCTAACCGATCTAATTGTACCCCTAACCCATACAAAAGACCAAAGTGTTGGCCCTTTTTGAATTTTATTTATTTCCTTCAGTCGTTCCATAATAAAAGAAACTCAACCCAATTTCTTCAATTCCATATCCCATCAGCAGCAGCCCACCAGCAAATATCACTGCCCAGCCCACTTTTAATACCCCTAACCCGGCCCACTTTGCTATCCACTAAAGGAACCCAGCAGTTTCTTTCACCTCTTTCACGTTGGCAACGCAGAGACCAAAAGCAACAACATAGATGGCGTGAACTAGAAGGAAATCGCAGGGGCAGTACGCTACACCTTTGTCGTCTTCTTCCTTTGCCCCCTGAATCCAGTATATTTCCAGCAACGCTTTTGTCCTTGGGGCCTTGAGATCAGGACACGTCTCGCCCCAAGGACGATGGAGTCGATCAAGCTCGTCTATTCCCCCTTTCCTCTTTTGGAATGGGGCGAAAATTGTGAGAAAGGGTGTTTAACCAAAATGGTGAAAGGTTTTTCGAATTTGAATTTCGAAATGGGCCTTTTCTATTGGGATTTTTAGTCCGATTTTCCCCACTTTTCTCCGGACCGGACTCCTTTCTATATATGTTGTCTGTTGTCCACTACGAAAAGGGGGGATTTTTTTGGGTTGAAATTTTTTGAACGAAGGCAGAGAAAATAGTAAATAGTTAGTCACAAAAACCATACCAAAATATATTCGAAAAGGGTAAACCAGGCCTTTCGATTGTTGTTCCGTTCGTGATTGTGTGGTGGAACTCGTCATCATTCCCTTGCTCTTCCTTGCCCAGGTCGCTGCCCCGTGAAAGGTAAATCTCGTGTCATCTCAACATTTCCGTTTCTTCAGTGTGTTGGTGGTTTCCCTGATGGAACTCTATTTTTCTTATTGTTTTCAACTTAGTGTCAACTATGGGTTAGTGAAAGAATTCATTTAGCGTTGAATGTCGTTGCCCTGTTCATTTTTCCTCTCTGTGCCGAGCCTTCTTCTCCTTGTTAGTGTATGTTTGTGTCACCTTTATTCCTGAAGCGTGGGCTGTAAATCGTGATAGTTATTTATCCCTTGTTAGTCTTCATGTCTAATTACTCGCAATGAGTTCGATCTGTTCGAAAATGAGTAGGATGGGCAAATGAACTAATTATTTCAAACTGATTAAAGGCTCACCCGAATGCCACCTGCTCAGCCTTCTTCTCCTTCTTTTAATGTTGTTCTCATTGGGTTTTGCTACATATTTTTTATTTCATTTTTTTTAACTGTGAAGCATGCTAAAAGGATGTTAATTTGTATCCAAGTCATCTATGTTGAAATAGTATCTGCCTGCTTCATTTCCTCTTTCTGTGATGTTTTGGGGGTTTGTTTTCTCACCGCCTAGACTAACCTTTTGCTCACCTCTGCCCTCTTTGGATTAGTTGTTGACGTTTGAAGGGATTTGCTGCCTAAAAGTTGATATTTTCTTGCTTTATTGGAATTTGTTTTAGGTTTCGTTAGAAGTGGGTTTAAGCTCATTTGTCTATTCTTCTTGGTTATGCTCCTTGCCTTATAACT